CCACATCATAAGCCAGGGGACTGGTGAGCCCCTGGCGCATAGGGCCCCCCCAAAACTGGATAACAAGGGCACACCCAGATCACTGGAATAGAGGACTTAAAAAATAAATAAAGGGAATTTCCAAAAACACAATTATATAATGAACAAAGAACCATAGTGGTATCCCTGGGTGAAAACCCACCATTATATTTGTGAACATCTGGGCACTTCAGCACCTCATCCACATCTAACCCGATAGACTGGGGAGTGTATAGGTAACGGTCTTCAAACTGATATGTCCGATTGAGCCGTATAGACCTATTGAGGATTTATCACTGGGAAAATCAATAAACATATATAACAATATAGATGTCTATTGAGTTGACAAAACATAGGTGAAAACCCCAGTTCTCAAACCAAACAGGGAAAGAAAAAGGGGAGCTTACCAATAAATAGATCTAATGGTGCCCAGCACACATAAAGCCACCCTGGCGTGGGCCGTCTGCACTGGCCCATAAAAGAGAGGATTATCAAAGCTATAAGGGATGAACCCCAGTTATATAAAGACCTCAAAAGAGGTCCAACCAATGCTCAAGTAGTGATTGAACATCACCCATGTGAAACAAAGGACCAAAAATGGCGTTTAACTGCCAAACCCACGCTGTCCCGAACATGGACTCCCCCATTGTGCGGAGTGACATCACGCATCGGCGGACCGCTGACACGCTAAAGAAGGCAAGGCCACAGAGCGCAAGGGGAGCAGCAGAGGCCAAGGCCCTGCATCACAAATGACTGCATAAAGCTGCACCCACCAGACCAAGGCTAGTGCTGCAGCCTCAGTGTGCCGGGCACCAAGACAGAGGGACCAAGCACCCGGATTCGAAACTGCCTGGCCCCCCCCAAAATAAGAAACAAAGAGGCTGCAACAATGAAGTCATCTGTATCAATTCCACATTATATATGCATATATCAAAAATATACAAAATATACAGAATTACATCTGTACAAAGCAGAAAAATTATAACAGAAGCCAGAGAAATCTCAGATATGGGCACCAAAATAAAATAAAAATAAAAAGTATACAATACAGATATTGGGCATTGATGCGACATCGCACCTAACATAAGAATTAATTGTTATACACAGCAGAATAAAAGGGCAGGACAAGTGGACAGAGAGAAGCATATGGTGGAAATTATTTTTACATACCACCAGAGACAAACCCTTGCAAAAAGGGCCCAAAATTTACTGATTCAAACCAGGGGGGGAAGTAGCTTGTAGATTGAATATCCATCTAAGCTCCAACTGCAGTAGCGGTTTATTCCAGTCACCTCCTCTGCGACCTGGATGTACCGGGTCGAGAATGAGAGATTTTACTTTAGGAAAATGACCATTATGGACAATAAGGACATGGCGTCCCAGAGGTAATTTAGGATCACCTGTCCGCATACTTTTATTATGTCTATATGCTTGTCTCCAAAATTCCAACTTTGTCTTCCCACATAGAAACAGCCACATTCACAAATAAGTAAATATATCACTCCTGCAGTTCGACAATTGGCAAAATGTTTAGATTTAAAAAGAGCCCAATTTGGTAATCTGGGTTGTACTTCTGTATGCATATACAGTACCTACAGTAGTTGCAAGCTTCACAGCAAAAAATACCTTTTAACTTACAAGGATCTCTAGAAGACTAGAGAATTACTATATAAAGTATTTGAAACAAGAAATAATTTAGATGCTGATGTTATACTATGATCTTGAATGGTTCGTTATGCTGTGAAAATTTTGACAAAATAAAGAGTTTGTACTTTTTGTATTCCCATTTTACATATTTATGCCTTTAAAGTCCCAATTCATTTAGGGGGTTTCCCTCTTATGTGTATTCATATCTGGGGATGTTGGCTATTTATCAGGAAACTTTCCCCTTTTTTCTTCTTACGTTATTTAAAGGTATTTTGCATTTTTAATGTTTCACTTTAGCATTAATAAAATGCTCCTTGTTAAATCAAATAAAAAAAAAAAGTTTTGCTTTAGTATATGTTCCCCAGGGAAGTGCCCAACTACATGTCATTTGTTTTACAATCTTTTCCCTATTGCTCCAGAAAATGGCCATTACTGTTTTAACATTCATCACCAATTACTATAATAGGCAATGGATTCATCACCTGGACTTTAGTCATGTTCTACAAACCTATCTCAAACCAAACCCAGGCCTGTTTGGTTCATACCTACTGTTGTTTCCTGTAGTCTTGTATGCAGAGCAGTTATAGAGTCCTTTATTAACAAGGTCAGACATCCATAAAACATGTGCAGCTTTTTAGATATATTATAACAGGAACAGTGATCATGTCAATGCTACTTACCTTCTTTGTTTCATCTCCACATCTGCTTCTATGTTCTTTTTGCCTGGATTCCACCTCCCAAAAAGGCTGTCACCAGCACATCCAATCAGAGTGGTCGAACCCATCATTCATCTCAAACTGTCACCATTGAATCCAATTAGAATGGGGCACCCCGTTCTCCCTCTAAAAACTTTCACCCAATCAGAGTGGCTTCCTTCCTCTACCAACTTTAATCAAACTCTGTGCAGCTTCTGGCTGGCTGTCCGGGCAATGCTTTTGCAAGCTAGTTGTCAAGTTCTAGTATACCTTTCTCTGCTCTCCATCCTGTATCCCCCTGGCATAGCACCTTGGCCACATGTTGATGAGGACCAGGGCCTCTTTTTCACAACCCCGACCACTGGTTGTGGGGGTCTTTTGGTAGGGGACTTATCGCTCCCCCCCCATGTGAATCATGTCATCCAGTGGTGCAGATCCTCATCAGTCTTGGTTTACTATGCCCAATGCCCCCCCTCCCCTGTAAGAAAAGAATTGCACAGAATGACACAATGAATCTTTGGAGTCTTGGGCTGACAGGTGAATGTAAACAGAGTGGCAGGGATGGTGGGTGATGTTATATACCAAAAATGGCCATGGCTATTGACCAAATATGACCATCACCATCCCCACCACTTGGTTTACATTCACCTGTCAACAGTTATTCCTTGGCTGACATTTGAATGGCCAGACATTAGTAAATCCACTGCTAAATGTATATATTTTTTTGCAGCCAGAGGTTGGGATTGGTGGGTGGATACTCCCTTTTGGACACAGAGGATGACAGCTCAGTGCCAAACCAGTTATATGTCTATTTTCAGTGCGCATATGCTAAGTGACTTATCAGTACATTGTTGAGCCTGGCTGTGCTGCGTGCTAGCAGTAGATGTACTATTATCAGGTAGAAGTGACAGATCACACTGCAGAGTGGCCATGGGGTATGAGCGAGGCACATTCTTGGGAGGATGTCATATGACATCCACCCAATATGAGAGTCACATTACAATAGGCTTGGTGGGAAGCAGTTAAAGAAGCAGCTGATGCCAGTGCTCACTTCGTCCTTAATCAGTGATGTCACCTGGTCCCATTAATTTGGTGGTTGGAAATCCCTGCCCATGTAAACTGATATCATTGCAAAATGGCCGTATATGGCCATTGCCCATGGCCATATTGGGTAATGATATTACCAGGCATATCCTGCCCTTTGTTTACATTTAGTGGCAGGGACAGGAGTTGACTATCACAGTGAGTGCAGCAACAGGATTAGACGTGTCCATTGGTTGGCAGGTTTTTCTCTTTCAGTGAGTTGTTCATCATGGACGAATGGATATCATGGGACTTTTCTGTTTCCAATTCTAATCAGATTGGAAACTTTGGATTGTCTCTCTTTCAATAAGTTTCTTACCACTCTAAATAGAGATCCAAACTGAAAGTGTACTTTTCTCACTACACATTTCTTCTCAGTATGTCTTACCTTTATCTCATTAATCTTAATCTTTAACAATCTTAGCAACTGGTGATTTTAGATCCTCTGGACTTTGTGACAATTGTATGTCTGCCACCTGAATTTTAGCACACATCTGTCTTCCATGTAGTAGTTCCATGTGGTAGTTCCAGTGTTGATGGTTATGTAGTTGCATGACTAGTCACTCTGTAGACATGTAATCTCTGTAAGATTTGCAGTCTGAAGAGTTTCTTTATGGCTTTATACTTTGCAAAGTGATTTTGGTAGATTTGCTCAGGCAACATAGAGACAACAGAACCTGTAACAAGCAGCAGGATAAAGAAGTAGCCCTGAATCAGGTACTTGTAACAATTGTAAATATTGACATCTACAGCAATATTGATATACCAAAAGAGATGAAAAAAGGTCAAAACAACTTTATTTATGATACACATTGCTTTCGCAAAACAAATTGTCTTTTAGTTTAGATTTACAGCCTTAAGCTGAAAGGTGTTGCCTAAATTCAGATCATTTTCTTAACTGCTTCCCATCCAGCTATAGTACATAAATGACTGGAAAAGCGCCGATGTGGGTGGATATACCCGTACATTATTGATCAATTTTCAAATATATATTCCAAAATTTTTAGACTCTATAACCTTTACACAGACTAAATAGTATACACTGATTTAGGTTATCCAAAGAAATGTAGTAGAATACATTTTGGCCTAAATTTATGAAGAAAGAGCATTTATTTGCAAAATTTAAAACAGAAACTAAAAAAAGTTTGTTTTTTTTTTTCAAAATGTTTGGCATTTTTTTGTCTATGCAGCAAAAAGTAAAAAAAGTCCATTGGTGATTAAATACCACTAAAAGAAAGCCCTATCTGTCACAAAGAAATTTAAAAATGTCATTTAGGTACAGAGTTGCATGACTGAGTAATTGTCATTCAAAGCATGACAGTGCTGAAAGCTGAAAAATGGCCCATGCTGGAAGGGAGTGAAAGTGTCTGGACCTTAGGTGGCTAAATTGTCCAAAATTATTAACCATTTCAACATTTTCTGTAGCATTCTGTTTTCTTAGTTTACAACTCTAAATATATACAAGATATAAACTATGTGGTCAAAAAGTATTTGAACACTCCTCCAAATCATTGGATTCAGATGTTCCCATCACCTCCATGGCCACAGGTGTATAAAATCAAGCACCTAGGCATGCAGACTGCTTCTACAAATATTTGTAAAAGAATGGACTGCTCTCAGGAGCTCAGTGAATTCAAGCGTGGTACCATGATAGGTTGCCACCTGTGCAGTAAGTCCATCCTTGAAATTTACTTGCTACCAAATATTCCACGGTCGACTGTTAGTGGTATTATAACAAAGTGGAAGCAACTGGGAGCAATAGTAACTCAGCCACGAAGTGATAGGCCACATAAATTACAGAGCAGGGTCAGCCCCTGCTGAAGCGCACAGTGTGCAGAAGTTGCCAACTGTCTGAAGTTTCAATAGCTAAAGACCTCCAAACTTCGTGCGACCTTCAGATTAGCACACAACAGTGCATGGGTTTCCATGGCGAGCAGCTGCATTCAAGCCTTAGATCAATGCAATACAAAGCATCAAATGCACTGGTGTAAAGCATGCTGCCATTGGACTCTAGAGCAGTGGAGACATGTTCTATGGAGTGACAAATCACACTTTTGTGTCTGGCAATCCGATGGACTGGGTTTGGCGGTTGCTAGGAGAACAGTACCCGACTGCATTGTGCCAAGTGTAAAGTTTGGTGGAGGGGGGATTATGGTGCGCAGTTGTTTTTAAAGGGTTGGGCTTGGCCCCTTAGTTACAGTGAAGGGAACTCTTGAGGTGTCAACATACCAAGACATTTTGGACATTTTCATGCTCCCAACTTTGTGGGAACAATTTGGGGATGGCCCCTTCCTGTTTCAACATGACCAGTCCTGACTTCAATCTGATAGAATACCTTTGGGATGAATTAGAGTGGAGACTATGAGCCAGACCTTCTCATCCAACATCAGTGCCTGACCTCACAAATGCACTCCCATAGACACACTCCTAAACCATGTGGACAACCTTCCCAGAAGAGTTGAAGCTGCTTTAGCTGCAAAGGGTGGGCCAACTCAATATTAAACCCTACAGACTAAGACTGGGATGCCATTAAAGTTCATGTGCACGTAAAGGCAGGCATCCCAATACTTTTGGCAACATAGTGTATATTGATGTATTCTTTTCATTATGTAACCTGCACCCTTATAGAACCATATTTTGATTGTCCTAAGCTCTGACAACATACATGTTTTAAGTAAAGAAAAGAATCCTACAAGCAAAGATAATAATTGTTAAAATGCATTAAAACAAAAAGGTAGCAAGATATAAACATTTTGTCTGCATGGGTAAGGTGAGTGTCTCTTTAAACACCCATCATCCTAACAAATGGTCTACCCACTCCATTTACTATGCTCTCTTTATTAGCCATGTTTTGTCAGACTAGAAGGACTGAGCACCTTCCAGCCAGACCAATAAACTGAAATATTTACTGCCTTCTCTTTGTCCTGCCAAAAGTGAAGCATGCAAGTACAGATTTTCGTTTCTAGGGGCAAAATCAGAGCTATTTTCAATCTGAAACTGCTCTTACTGAAGATAAAAAATACATTGAAGTTTGGTATTTCAGGTTGTCTTACCATAAAATTAATCTTTTGTGTTTTGTGTTGACTCATCCTACTCAGACAGGTGTCTCTTATTATAGTAGCATGGGTATATATTGCACTATGAACATCTGCACCTAGCAGAATAGTAAATGGAACTGAAGACAATCCAAGATGTTGTCAGGATCAAGGTACTGTAGATGGAGGAGTAGTTGAAGATAGAAATAGGTGCACAAAAGGTACATATGGCAGCAGCACAGCACTGGTGCCGTGGAAATGCAAATGCTGATTGGTCTTCAATGGAAGACAAATAGATGACAAAGGGTAAGCTCCGAGTTGCTTTAAAATTGCAGACATCATTTGATTTTTGCTTTGGCTACTTAGCAAAATATTAGCTAATTAAGCAGCATGAAAAACTATGAGTTCAGGACCTTTCCTCTTCTCTCTCTCTCTCTCTCTCTCTCTCTCTCTCTATATATATATATATTCCACTGTTTCTAATTTAACCAAGGTGATTATACTAAATGAAAAAACAGAAAACAAATGCCATAAATTACCTTGTAAACTTGTCAGTACTCTGTGATTAATCATAATAGTACCTACTTTGTTATAGTAAAACATGCCCCCAGTAGCGCTGATATGTAACTTCCTTTCAACAAGACTTTTAGAAGACAAAGATGGAGATCTTATTATCTTTCATCTTTGGACTTCAAAGAACTGAATCAGCAAAGCACAGGATGATCCAGTTTTTCTGATAAGTGCCTCCAAAGCTATCTGAAGCAAGTAAGAGTGAACAGTAGGAATTTATTGAATGGACACTCAAGTGCTGGCTTTGGCTTGCTTAATTAAAGAATAAAAATATAAAGTACACATACTACCAAATAAACATAAGACAAAATTAACTTAAATTACCTCATCTGGAGAGAATGTTATCATTTAAAGATTCCCTACAGGGCAACACACAATTTCCACACATCTGTTATCAATGTATATATATGTGGCTGGGAAGAGTACAGGGAAAGGGATATATTGAGTGTTGTGGCACAAAATACGGTAGACAGACTGAAGAAGACTATACCACACTCTGGAAATTTGATTCCATGCAGAGAAAATAAATTATCATCACCATTATTTTCTAATTATAACAGCTGTAATTATAAGGGTAATTCTTATAACTAAAATACTGTACAGGGATCTCACAAACTGTGAAAATTGCTAACCAGTAATAGGTTAAAAGAGCATTAAAATGCAAGTGTGGAATGATGTAATTTTGTTAATGTGATTAAATAAAAATACACAGTATGAATTTGCAATAAAATAGGATATAAATATTATTATTCAATGTTAAAACATTTTTTCAGTTAAAGCATGCTAGCTGTTTATGCTTGCCTCATAAGTTAGCAAATATTTATTACAAATAGTGGTTGATTCAATAAAACAAAAATGGAACTGCTGTTCATAGTAACTAATTTGAACTGTTGTTTAACTTCCATAAAAAGAATGGTTGCTACTGGAAACAACTCTACTTCTCTGCTCAATATTTTTCTATAGTTTCAATTAGTTCCATAAAATGAATGTAATTGGCATTAACCACTTGAGCTCTGGAAGATTTTACCCCTTTCATGACTAGGTCATTTTTTGCTATTCGATACTGTGCTACTTTAACTGGCGATTGCATGGTCATGCAACGCTGTACCCAAACAAAATTTAGATAAATTCGTTTGATGGTATTTGATCACCACAGGGTTTTTATTTATGAATGTAAAAAAGATCAAAGAATTTGAAAAAAAAAAAACCTATATTTTTTACTTTCTGCTATAAAACCAATCTGATAAAAAAAAAAAAATCTAATTTGTAATTTCTTCATACATTTTGGCCAAAAGGTATTTTGCTACATGTTTTTGGAAAAAAATTCCAATAAGTGGATATTGGTTTGTGTGAAAGTTATAGCGACTACAAACTATGGTGTATACAGTATATACTAGAATTTTTATTTTTTTATGCTACTTATGGCAGCAATCAGAGACCTATAACAGGACAATGATACTGCGGCTGAAAATGTGACACTAACTGACACTGGGGAGAACTGACTAACTGACACTGACATCACCAATAGTGACCTTAATACAGTGATCAGTGATAATACTATACACTGTCACTTTACTAATGACACTGGCTGGGAAGTGGTTAAGGTCTAGTGCAATTAAGGGGTTACATATGTGCCTAACTATGTGTAATGTGTGTACAGTGTGCTGCTTTTACTAACTGTTCTGCTTTGCAAGCGTGAGAAACTGACAGATTGCTCCCTTGGTTCAGAACTCTGTGTTGTTTACCAACACAAGAGCTCTGCGCTGTGATTGCACATAGTCGATCAGCAGGTCCCAGCTGTGAATCATTGGCCAGGACTTGCTGAAAGGCTCCCACTGTATGCAATTACAAAGGATGCTGGGTGGAGGCACATGATTGATTGCATAAGAAAACATCACAGAGCAAGTGGTAACTAACAGAACATTCTTAGGTACCCTGTTACACAGGGAGCATAAGGTACACAAGGCTCCAAGACATCCTATTTGGAGTGATTTGTAACACATCTTATTGTGAATGGAAAATGTAATCAAAGACGGAAAGGAAAAGAAAGAGGAAAAAAAACTAGTAAGAAAGAGGCGAAGAGAAAAGAGAGGAGCGGACAGAATGGGGTGTTTGGAGTTCCTCAAAAGTCCTCAGCGTCCATGAGGCCAGCAGAAGGAGTCAATTAGGGTTCTAACAGAGATTGATCAAAATTAGGTGGCAGAAAGGGGTCTATCCAAGGTTGCCAAACCTTTACATGTTTTGGAATCTAATCCAAGATTGTGGCCTCAATTTTGCTATGAATCATAGATTGTGTTATTCTGTGCTTCACCTCAAAAATAAACAAGGAGGGTTTCTTCCATGATCTAGCAATAGTTTTGTTTTGAACCAATAGTAATATATAACAATAACTTAAATTGTGCCATTGTCAGGTCCTGAGAACGTTTATTTAGAAGCACTATGGTCAGGTCAGGTATAAATAGTGTGTGCAACAGAAGCATACCAAATACTTCAGTCCAGAATTAAAGAACCACTGGGTAGGTCCACCATATATGCAGGTGTGTGCCTTCATCAGAGAATCCCCTAAAACAATGTGATGGGTATGAGGGCAATATTTTAGCAATCCTAGCCAGAACTAAGTACCATTGGGTAATACTTTATAATTAGTCTCCAAAGCTATTATGTTCACAGAAGACAATTTTATATTTTCCCATATTTCAGACCAATCTTCTGGTTCTAGCTGAATATCGATGCCAGAAGCCCACCAGGAGGTATAATTTGGTAGTGACAAGTTTGACGTGGAAATCAAATGAGCATAGATTTTGGAGATCAGGCCTGGTGCCCTGGGATCTTTGGAACAAATACCTTCATAGAAAGTTTGAGTCTGTAGATCCATCTGGCCCTTGATGCATGTGGAATTTGGAAATATAAGAAAATCACCAAAAATTGTTCTTGCAAAGAAATAAAAGAATGAAAAGAGGTGTTCATCACTAGATGGCCTAAATGGGTAAGACCCAATGAGCTCCATATATGGAAGGAGGGCCGGGGACACTGTACCTGGATAGAAAGCTGGATTATGGAGGAAAGATAAGAGGGGAATATGCGGTGATTGTAGGCTAAAAGAGGTTTTTAGTTGGTCCCATATTACCAGGTAATGTAATGGGGTTCGTAACTAACCTATGTTCCTTGTGGTGAAGCCAAAGGAGGTTGTCCACTACTAGTGGATCACATTCTGGCTTAGCCATTTCCTGGCTTAGCCAGAGCGGGGCCTCCTTCACAGTGTGGTATTGGGTTAGATGGGCTAATTGAGTGGCCTGATAGTATTTAATAAAGTTAGGTAGCCCTAAGCCACCATTGAGTTTTGAACGGCTTAGGCAACCTCGGTTTGAAGTGACCTCAAAATATATGAGTTAACCCAGCATTGAAGTATTCTCAAATAGTGTGAGGGAACTGTAATAGGCATAACTCTAAACAGGTATAATATTTTAGGAAGTAGTAGAGTCATCTTAACTGCTGTTATGCGACCTAACCAAGAGACTGGGGGAATTTTTG